CCTTTAATTCATCTGCTTAATTATTTATTCTGAAACTCGTGATTAGATTTGATTCTTTTTCCTTGCATTTATTTTGTTTTTGTTCATGAATTTCTCCATCTCCTTTGTATGTTCTCTTTCATTGAAGTATATCCTAATTATTCTACCTGATCTATTTTCTAGACTTGTAATTTTTATCTGTTCTTCCTGGGGGCTATACTCTGGTGACATAAATTTACCCAGTGCAGGAATACTGCAGGGATTGAAAGGCAAAGGATTGGGCCCGTGTTTTAACAAAGCTTGCAAAGAGTCTTCTTTGACTTTCTTTCTCCTGGCACATTCTGAGATTCAGGAGCAGGGAAAACTCTTCCTCAGCTATTGAGTTCTTTCTTTTTTTTTCTTTTTTCCTTCCAGATTCGTTTATTAAAATATATAATTTTATACTTATGGAAAAGTTGCAAGGTCATTAAAACATACTGCCATATCTGATTCACCCATATTTCCCCGAGTTTACATTTGACCACATGTGTTTCAATATCACCCTTTCCCTCTGTCCCTGCCCCCGTCTCACATACACACAAATTCTTTTTATGAGCCACTTGAGGACATTGCTAAAATCATCTTTTTTGGCTTTTTGAGGTCAGACGAATCTCACAGGGGGCTGTATCCAATTTGGAGTAGGGTTGGGGACAACAGATATTAGATGCTAACACTTCCTGGATATTCCACTTTTCAGTCCCCATAAGCTTCCGTATCAGTTCCAGTACATTGTTATGCCCCTTTGGGGAAATATACTCCATAGGGTTTTTCCCCCTTCGATTTGGTTGCAGGTTGAGTTGTAGTCCTTTCTCCTCCCCCACCCAATTAAATATGGGAAAAATACAAATCTATGTCTGTTAAAAAATTTCCTATAAAAAGATACAAATTCCTGTTTGAATATATTTGTGGATGTTATTCCTTCTCCATTGATATCTACCACTGTATATGTTATATAAGAAGATAATATGCTGGGTCATGCGTGGTGGCTTACACCTGAATCCTAGCACTTTGGGAGTCCAAGGTGGGCGGATCACTTGAGGTCAGGAGTTTGAGACCAGCCTGGCTAAACAGCAAAACTCCGTCTCTATTAAAATACAGAAATAACTGGGTGTGGTGGCAGGCACCTGTAATCTCAGCTACTTGAGCAACTGAGGGAGGGGAATCACTTGAACCCAGGAGGTGAAGGTTGCATTGAGCATGATTGCACCACTGCACTCCATCCTGGGCAACAGAGTAAGATTCTATCTCCCACCCAAAAGAAAAGAAAAGGAAAAAGAGAAAAGAACAACATTTAGAGCAGAAGAGACAAAGCTATTTGTCCCTGTTTTTTTAACATTAGAATATGATATAGGATGGTATAACATAGGTTGCTGATGCCACTGTTAGCAGCAGTCAGATCTGCTTTGAATTATCGCATTTTCATTGGCATAATGATGGATAAGTTTATCTCAGGCTTTTCTGTACTATATTAAAATGTCATTATTACTGCTGCTACGGTGACGAGGTCTTTTTCTAGTCTGGAGAGAAGGGCTGCTGTTGAAAATCACAAAATTGGTAAATATTTTTTATCCAAATATGAACAATGTAAATTAAATGAGACTTTATAATATTTTTTAAACAGAAAAGGTGGTGTGCAGACGTCTGAGTGAAATAATTCTCTGAGGAGCTGTCAGATTACTAACAGCACACCTCATTAATGTTACACTTGTTGCAGTTTTCCCGCATATTGTTGATATTTATTTGTTTGGTGTGCTGACTGCAGGAACAAATAAGAATACGGTTTTTGCCAGAGGTTTCATTATCCTGGTATTTGAAAGAATTGAATGAAAATATTATTCTCTGGCTCTCTCACATGGCTTAATGAACAACACACACAGCTGCCTGGAAGAATAAATGCTTTCAGCATTGTGCACACTAGTAGAGTTCCTTTAGTGTCTATAAAAAATTAATGAAGACAAATATAAGTTCATTTTTTCCTTCAATTTTCAAGTGAGCTATGATGGCCAGTATAGCAAATACAGAAAAAAATTAAATCAACCAAACCAAAGTATTTATCTGTCTACCCTGGCAACCTTTGATCCTTTGAGGTTCAGATATAAAAGAAACCCAAACATTATTGCAATTGAAAAAGTAAATGGCTTAAGCATTATTTATTCATGTGATTGTTTCGGAAAGGTATATGTTCTTCCATAGCAGCACTGGATATACATGTGTAAAAAGAATGTACACTACAGTAGTTTGCATTAAAAAAGATTGATATAAATCATTGACATGATATACAATATTTAATTTTTTAGTACTGATTTTGAAGTAATTTTTTAAATTACAAAATATACATGTTCAATGTAGGAAATATGAGAATGAGAAATACTTGAAATGCTATTACCCACAAATAACCATGATTTATATTTTTGGTGTATATTCTAAGAACGTAGGGAAAGTTTCCACTTTGCCCTCTGAAGGTATGCTGAAAATTAACTGACAAAAGGTACACTGAAAGGAGAAAAGGCATACTCATTTTATTAATATGCACACATGTGCAGAGAAGTCATATAGAATATGAAAACTCAATGGGCCAGTTGGTTGATGCTTTTATACCATGTTGAGGTTATGGAAGGAATAGGGGCTTGGGGCATGGCAAGACTGGTTCTAAGAGAGAAAGGAAGGCATAGGACAAAGGTGGTCTTGTTATGCAGATGAATGTTATACAGATAATATCTCTGAAAAAGAATGGATAATATAGCTTGTGGCTGAGTTAATTTCTCTGATCTGCAGATAAGGGATAGGGCCTCTGAGAAAGCCTGGTTCTTTACTTCACCAATATTGATTTTTCTCAACTGATACAAATCTTAACAAAAGGCAGCTTTTTGGCGCTATTGTTGTCTGCAGGCCCTCTGAATAGCCATCTCAAAATATGTCAAAGAAATATATTTGAGGGTGAAATCTTTTTGGTGTCGTTTAGTCTCCCATTTGAAACTTTATGTTCACAAAGTTTTGCATATTATGCAAGGATCGATAGCTATGGAGAAATTTGGGTTAGAGATTGTGAGATAGATTGTCAAAGAAGAAGAAAAAATATGTAGATTGGAACACCTAGCTCACGTCTTCTGGAATCAGACAGTCTTGAGAATAGGTCAGTTCAATTAAACAGTTATTTCTCATTCTAGGACACCACATTGCAGATGGACTCTAAAACCAGGACTCTTCATATGATGCAGTTAAATAGATCTTTAATAACAGGCATTTCTATGGCAAAAAGAAAAACAAAGGTTATATCTGGAGTCCATCTGCAAATTAGTTTTTCTGGAATTTGAAGCACCTTCAGTTGAATGGGCATAGTGGGAATCTACAGATTTTCTTGGATTGTATTTTAAAGCAAGAGTTTCAAGACCAGGCATGGTGGCTCATGCCTGTAATCCCAGTACTGTGGGAGGCCAACATGGGTGGATCACTCAACAGAAGTTTGAGACCAGCCTGGCCAATGTGGTAAAACCCCATCTCTACTAAAAATACAAAAGAAAAAAAAAAAAAAAAAAAAGACTTGCCATGGTGGTGCACACCTGTAGTCCCAGCTACTCTGGAGGCTGAGGTGGGAGTATAACAGGGGGAGCTACTCAGCTACTAGTTCCGAAGAAGTTCTTAGCCTCACTAACCCCAAAGAATGGGGAAAGGGGCTCTGGAGGAGCGGTGAGTTTGCCTTAGAATAAATATCTTAGACCGAAAGAGTTTTGAGGAAAAGTGATTTATTAGAAAGAGAAAGAAAGACAGCTCCCACACTGTCGAGGGAGGGGACCCAGAGAAGGAATCCGTATAGGTAGGAGTGGCTGGAGTTTTAACCCTTGAGTTATTCCCGCCCCCATTCATGTCCTCGTCCAATGAGAGAAGTTCTTTCAGACTTCCTCTGGAGTGATTGATCTTTGACTCTGATACTGGATTGGCTGCTTGGTCCACAACTCTGAGTTATAAAGCCCCCTCCTTCCAGAGCTTTCCATGGGTTTTTTTTGGGACAAAGGAGCTTCACCTGGCTTTCTCTACCTAGCCTGACCACAGGAAACCCAGACAGAGAACTTTACATTTGAAACCCCTCTGGTTCCTGGATGGAGGCGTGAAGCTGGGAAACTCTTGCCTTTGAAACCACGTCCCTCGCGGACCCAGGAAGAGAAGGCAGAGGTTGAGGTGAACAAAGATTGCACCACTGCACGCTACAGCCTGGGTGACAGAGTCAGACTGCGTCTCAAAAAAAAAAAAAAAAAAAAGTTTCAGTGAACTTTTCGAGTAGTTTACTATAATAGTTATGAAGACAGTTTATATATAAGTGACTACAGTGGTTTCTCCCAAAGTTTACGACAGATTATCTAGCTTCAGTTTGTAGGACTTTAAGAAAAGCACAATTTTAATTTCTTGTGATTTTTAAGTCAGAATGGTGGATGAAAAGTTGGAAACAGTAGATTGCAGAATCACAGTCAGATATTGAAGGGGATTAAAATGTAAAATTGAGTCCAGATTGCAGGTAATAATAAAATCTCAAAAACAAATGAGAAAAACTTCAGTGAGCTAGAAACTAATAACAGATATACTACATGTTTCCCTCTGAATTGTATTTCTTTTTGACCCTCTGGTCTGTCATTTCGACCAAGGATAAATCATAGTCAGACCAATTTATTTATAAAATAAGTTTCAGCCTTATTAACCTTGGCCTGATTATTTGCATAAAGTTCAACAAGGATAGCGATTGGTCATATAGGCTATTTTTAAGTTGACTTTGCTGTAACTTTTTCATATGAAATTTCAGATTAGACTATTTTTTTTTTTTTGAGTTGGCGCGCAGTAGCTCAGATTAGACTTTTAAAAATCTCTTGAGGTTTAGAGCCAAGCCAAAGACTGTGTCTGTAATGCCAGTATGAATTGAGTAAATTTTTTTCTTTTCAAGGACCCTAAAATATGCTGAGGTTCCTGGGGCCTGTCAGAAAGTGACATTACTTTCTTATCACAACAAGGTCAGGAATTTTGTAAGGGAGCTGTGTAGGCAAGGTACCTGGCCAGCCTTTTTCCAAGTCTGTTGGCGTTATAAAGTCAGTCCCAGTCTTTCAAAGCAGTATGATCACATCTTAAAACATGTCTTTCTAGTCAAAGCCTGGGTAAAAAATACAAGTGTTTTCAGTAGTGTCCTGATACAAAATAAAACAGATTTTTATTGAACTTATACAAATAACTATATTGCTATGAAATAAAAATAGTTGGCTGGGTGCTGTGACTCACACCTGTAATCCCAGCACTTTGGTAGGCTATGGCAGGTGGATCATGAGGTCAGTAGTTTGAGACCAGCCTGGGTGAAACCTCATCTCTACTAAAAGTAAAACAATTAGCCGGGGTGGTGGCATGCGCCTGTAATCCCAGCTACTCAGGAGGCCGAGGCAGGAGAATTGCTTAAACCCAGGAGGTGTAGCTGGCAGTGAGCCGAAATTGCACCACTGCACTCCAGCCTGGGTGAAAGAACAAGACTTCATCTCAAGGAAAAAAAAAAAAAGAAAAAAATGAATATTCATAAATAGCTTCTAAATTCCGGAAGGAGCAGTAGAGAGAAAGGAAATGTTTAAAATGTGCTCAAAAAAGTTTTTTCTACCCAATTGTTATAAGCTATAAGTAACTTGAAGGAAAGAGTTTTTTTAAGTCTGGGAAAAACCTGTAAAACGTAAATAGCATCAACAATGTTTCAGTCAAAAAAGTGATACAGAATTAGTTTAGTCCTTCATCAGTTCAGCTACATGGTATTCTTGTTCTGCTTGATATTAGGTTAGCAATTTTATGAGTCTAGTTTTATTTATTTATTTATAGCAGTTTTGTAAATTCTTACCTAGTGCATCTGTATGTTCTCAAAGTTGTCAGAAATGTGTACTTAAAATACTTGTAGTCTTTTCCATGAACCTCCTTGAAGACACCATTTTAGGATTTGCAAAAAGCTTTTATGGACAGAAAGCATCAGAATAAAGCAATTTGTTATGACAACAAGACTTAAAGTGATCATAGTTAAAGATGGAACTAACAAGGACTTTTTAAAAATTTCCATGGCATGTAGAAACTTAACATATCAAATATTTAGGAAACTCATCAAATTTTGGACACATTAACAGCATATTTATACACATATAACTCAAAAAAGATTAAACATCATATCTTAATTGACAGCATCATCCATGCAATTTAATAAATCAAATAAGCCATATTGTCTCTCTTTTGGATGCTTTAGGGGTCCTCTGTAACATCCCAAAGCTAATTTGTGGTCAGAACAACTTAATTTACAATTTAAAATTTGATTCTATGAAGCCTATTAAACATGTCAAAGGTTTAAAACACTTTATCAAAAATAGGCCATTGTGAAATAATAGTCATTCATTTAGCCAAATTGCTAATTAAAAGATTTCAGAAAGCAAAAACCTTTCCTCTTTGATAGAGAGGAGACTCAGCTTTCCAAATAATTAAAAGACCTAATAAAGACAGCATGAGTCACGTAGAATCTGTTTCTCTCTCCCTTCTCCTTTTTTTGGAGTTTTCCTAAAATGTAAGCCAAAGTCTTGTATTATTTCTTATTAATACTATATGAAAATCTTATTCAAAAGAAAAATACCAAATTATAGCCTCAAGTTAGTATGTGATATGAAGGTTCAATTTAAAAACCATATTAGTAAATTTATTTAACTTTAACCATTTAACCACGCAAGATTTGAAATTCCCCTTTTCCCTCAACTTTTTATACCCATTTAGTTTTATCTGCATCATTTTTTTCTCTTCATTTGAAGCAACCTTTAATCTCTAAACTAAACAATATTATTTTGTCAGTAAATACACATATATCCTCCTACCTTTTGTAACTTTTCTTACCAAAAAATGTATCTTGCTTTTCTTGTACACATTGCATATAGAATTATTTAATAGTTTTTATTGTATTAATTTAAATATAAACTCAGTAATGTTAATTTCTAGTGAAAACCTAGGAATTAATTTTGAACTGTTTTATATCAGATTTGTAGGTGAAAACCATTTCATAATTTTTAAGAAAGATATGTTTTCTTAGTTTTTAATGAACAGATCTAAATATTTAGCTTTTCTATACCATATAAAAAATGTTAAACCATATAAATTTAAAGTTATATTTAAGAATTGTTATAATATTTTTAACTTAAAAATGATGCAGACATTTTTATGACTGTTACTTAATTTAACATAACAAGACTTAAAGATTTTAAATTACTGGAAAGTATTTTGAAACTATGACAAAGTTACCCTTGTGACTGTCTTCCCCAGTTGTCCTGGGTTCTGAGTACTCACATGGCATTCGGAACAGGTATGAAGAATATGGCTTCTCTGGGTCCTGGATTCATATACCAGGTCTACAACCCAGGACAGAGGTTTGCACATGGTGGTTGGTGGGTCACATGCCATGGACACACATATGTTTCCAGGTCTTACCATGGCCACCTGTCCAGACTCCAGAATGCAGAGGCTCAAAACTAAAGAAATAAGTTCACATAAAGATATTAACAAGACTTTGGGAGAATCAAGCAACCAACACTTACAGCTTTTACAGACAAATTAAGTAAACATAAAAATTATACACAAGCAGCAGTTTCATAACCTTAAAAATTATAGCATAGACAGCATAAACCTGTTAACCGGTAGACCCAGGCAAAAATGTCAGCATTATATTTAATATAGTTCTAAAGACATTCTATTATTCCATTTTATGAACAATTTTTTTTTTTGAAATGTAGTTTCACCTTGTCACCGAGGCTGGAGTGCAATGGCACAATCTTGTCTCACTGCAACCTCCACCTCCTGGGTTCAAATGATTCTCCTGCCTCAGCCTCCTGAGTAGCTGGAATTATAGGCACCTGCCACCACACCCAGCTAATTTTGTATTTTTAGTAGAGACAGGGTTTCACTATATGGCCAGGTGCCTGACCTCAGGTGATCCATCTGCCTTGGCCTCCCAAAGTGCTGGTATTACAGGCATGAGCCTCTGTGCCTGGCCTTTATCAACAATTTTAAAACTAGCTTTGTTTACCAAAGATTATATTAATTCACTTAGAAATATCATATATACATAATAGATATAGACATATGAACATAAAGAGACACAGAATCAAATCTTACATGTTTCATTAAAATTCTCATTGCAAGGTTCCAAATAGCCCTTCCCTACCATCCTTCTTCAGATTACCTGTTAGCTAGGCAGCCTTAAACTTGCACTTCCAAAGGGATGACCTAGTGAATCAAGATGTAAAAATCATTGTTCGCCAAGACAAAGAAGGGCATAGGTAAAGACCACTTAAGACAAATAGCCAGGAAAAATACCATAAATAAAAGTTTGTTACGGAAACTTTTAAATGAATGCCTTTCCCTTCCTATAGGTTTCCAGTGGTTTTGGTGTAGAAAGGGAGATTCCCTTACAAATGGAGTTTTCTTATAGGTGTAAATTTCCTTTACAATAAGTTTAAAATGGGTAGCAAAATGCTGGCAAGTTGTATTTTGAAAATTCATTTAGTTGAATAGGTGTCTTTTTAAATTTCTTTTTTTTTTTGTTTTGAGGCGGAGTTTCAATCTTGTTGCCCAAGCTGAAGTAATGTGGCATGATCTTGGCTCACTGCAACCTCTGCCTCCTGGGTTCAAGTGATTCTCCTGCCTCAGCCTCCCAAGTAGCTGGGATTACAGTGATGCACCACCATGTGCAGCTAATTTTGTATTTTTAGTAAAGATGGGGTTTCACCATGTTGGTCAGGGTGGTTTTGAACTCCTGACTTCAGGTGATTTGCCCACCTTGGCATCCCAGATTGCTTGACAAGTTTCTGTTTCTTAAAACAGAATACAGTTCTGTTTCTGAATTCAGGGTGGAGCCCATTAATGAACCTATTTGTGACTATCGGGGCTCTACTGATCAACCAAGTGAACAAAATATGGGCTTGAAGGGGAACAATTGATGATTAAAGGGAACTAGGTGGAAGACTGAACATGGCAAAGGAGAGGAAAACTCAGACGGAGCCTTGAGTCCAAGAGGAGGCAGTTTGGAGACATCTTAGGCTTCCCAAAAGGCCAATGAAGTTTTACATCTTTTCTTTAAGCAAAAATCTTACTAATAAGAAAGGAAGTGAACAGAGAGACTGAACATACAATTAAGATAGTGTTTCAGTTCATTGAAAAAGATTCCTGTGGGAGAGACAGGATCCGAAAGAGAACAGAGAAGTTTAAAAAAATATATAGTTTGAATGTCGGCTTATAACTAAGTTGTTGATCCTAGAGCTCTTAAAAACATCTTTTCAAATCTCTTATCATCAGATTTTTGCTGGGACAAACAGCCGGTATTCCAGCTTTTGAATCTTTTTTATCCCTCTTTGTGTTTAAACTGAAGGTATCTACCAAGTAACCCAGAATCAAAACTTGTAACTCTTTTATGACTAAGCAAGGATGCAAGATGTATTTCAAAAGAGATGCAAAGAAGCAGTCCTAACGAGATCCAGAGCCACCCCCAAAGACAGCTAGAAGAAGAAAAAGACTTCTAGATGAACAGGAGAGCAGTAGCCCTCCACAAAGGGAAAATGATCTATAACAAATGGATATTGCAAAATGTCAAAAGTTACAAAAATTCCAACTAATTGTTATAAGAATTTTTATAAGAACCATAAATTTGTAAATTATATAATATAGTCATAATTTATAAGAATTATAAATTTATAAATTATATAATATACTTATAATTCTTTATAAGAATTACAAATTTATAAATTATATATCATTCTTTTTAAGAATTGTATAATATAATTCTTAGGCACAGTGGCTCACTCCTGTAATCCCAGCCCTTTGGGAAGCTCAGGCAGGTGGATCACTTGAGGTCAGAATTCAAGACCAACTTGAGCAACATGGTGAAACTCTGTCTGTACTTAAAATATGAAAAACCTAGCCAGGCCTGGTGGTGCGTGCCTGTAATCCCAGCTACTTCATAGGCTGAAGCGCGAGAATTGCTTGAACCCAGGAGGTAGAGGTTGCAGTGAGCAAGATGGCACCATTGCACTCCAGTCTGGGTGACAGAGCAAGACTCCATCCCTGTCCCCCCCCGACAGAATTATGTAATTCTTCTTATAAATGTTTATTTTTTTCTCCTGAGTTAAGGAATTTACATCTACATCTATCTGAATCACTAATGAGAATCAAACCTTGGCTGCCTCAGTAGGAGCATAGAGCCCTAGTCACTAGACCGCAGGCTGGAGGGCTGTTTTTTTTTTTTTTTTTTTTTGCAGATTCTACAGGGCAACCAGAGCAGACTGTTTGAGCAAAGGAGTTTAATTTTGTTTTAAATCAGATGTCTGCCTTTTTATTGATCTTGCCAGGAGAGGTTTTAAGGCTGAATTTTTTTTTTTTTGTATTTTTTCGTAGATATCAGTATGAGAGCTGGTGAAGAGAAACACTCTCTAAAAAGTTTTCTTTTAAATATAGCCAATTTTATTTATTCCATAAATGACTCAAGCTAATAAGCCTTTTACTTGGAAAGTCCCAGAGATAACTTTCCAGGTTTAGCGTCCATGGATATAAGTTTAAAAAATGTGTACAGAAGATTCAGCCCTCATGATCCCTCTGAAAATTCACTTCCAGAAACAGGATAGCAAAAGTCTCTTTGCCACAGGTTAAGGTTGATATTTATGCATATGATGTCTCTAGTCTCTCACAAATTTGTGGGAAGCTGCCAGTCACTAACCCATGAATCTGTGACAACGGATAGGCCCATGTGGGATTGGACTTTCTCAGATCTAACCATGCAGCAAAAGTTGAGAAGGCAAAATCCCCTTACGATTGAAATTCTTCTTTTTTTTTTTTTTTGAGACGGAGTTTCGCTCTTGTTACCCAGGCTGGAGTGCAATGGCGCAATCTCGGCTCACCACAACCTCCGCCTCCTGGGCTCAGGCAATTCTCCTGCCTCAGCCTTCTTAGTAGCTGGGATTACAGGCACGCGCCACCATGCCCAGCTAATTTTTTGTAATTTTTAGTAGAGACGGGGTTTCACCATATTGACCTGGATGGTCTCAATCTCTTGACCTTGTGATCCACCCGCCTCGGCCTCCCAAAGTGCTGGGATTACAGGCGTGAGCCACCGTGCCCGGCCTGGATTGAACTTCTTAAGGAACATTCCCCTGAGTGGTTGGCAAATGCAAAGCAAAGAGTGTGCCTCTTAAAATCTTACTTGTCTTGGGGTTCTCATTTCTTTCATACTGGCTACCAGATATGATCCCAAAATCATGCCATCTGGATGGCTGAGACCAAAAAATGGTGATTCCATTTGATGACAAAGTAAGCTCTCAGGGACATAAAACAAGACGAAAGGGACATTATGACAACACAGAAAAACAAAGAGGAAAACACATGACTATTTCTGGGAAGAAAAGGATTAGACAATATGAATATTTATACCAAAAAAAAAAATACCAATCACTGAACCTAAGACTAGTGTATAAATGCTTTTCTCTTATTCTTAAATTTGGAAAAGGAGAAAGCAACATTGACTTTGAGTATCTGCTCAATTGGATTCCACAGACAGACACATGGGAATCTGACTAGTAAGACATTTTTACCCTTCTTCCAGCTTGTCAGTTTCTGAGTTCCCTGGACTGTGGCTTCAGAAAAGCATTTGCTTACTCTGCTCATAGCATCAAAAGTGTAGGGGCCAAGGGAAGGAAACCTTCCCTTTGCTCTCTAAAGATTTGCTGAAGATCAACTGACAAAAGGCAAATTAATAGGAGAAAATCATAAACATTTGTTATTGTACACACATGTGCATGAGCATCATAGGAAATATGAAAACTCAAGGAATAGGCCAGATGGTTGTTGCTTTTTTTTCTACCATCTTGAGGTTATAAAAAGTAAGGGAACTTGGAGCATGGCAAGACAGGTTATAGGAGAGAAAGGCAAGGGGAAAGGTAGTCTTACTATGTAGCTGTAACCTCACATGTAGCAGCTCTGAGAAAGAGTGGATGGTAGGGTGTGGTTGAGTTAATTTCCTAGATCTGCAGGTGAGGGGGTAGGGCCTCAGAAAAATCTTGATTGTTTATTTCACTAATAAGATTTTTTTCAACAGATACAGATCTTCTTGATAAAAGACAGCTTTTCAGGGCTATTGTTAATCTGCAGACCCTCTGAATAGCCATCTCAAAATATGTCAGTAAAGTATATTTTGGAGTGAAATATTTTTGGTTCCCTTTATTATCCTATTATTTCTATATAAATATTTACTTAAAAATTATAGTTTTGCCAAAATACTTTGTATGCATGTACATGTGTGCATCAGACTCTTACAAAATGCAGTGTCTCAATTCAACTGCATTTAATAAGTTATTCTTCACAATTATCATTTTAGTGAGAAGTTACCTAAAATTTAGATAAATAAATTACCCAAGATTGCAACATTAATTAGTGGTAGA